CCACCCCAACCCCAACCCCAACCCCAACCCCAACCCCAACCCCAACCCCAACCCTTAACCCCAATAAATTAAAATAAAAACAAAAAAATAGACAAACAACTAATTTTTAAATTAAATCAACTTTTTATAATTTCCATATTACAAAAAAATAAATAATTAACCTTATTAAACATTTTAAATATAAATATAAAAATAAATAAATATATTTTATTAATATAATATGCAAACATGATTAAAAATAAATAAGAGATATATTAATTAATTCAATAAAATTTTATTTTTCATAAATTAAATTATAAATAGTAAATATCTTATATAAGTATAATATTTTAAAAATTTATTATTTAAATTATTTAAATAACAAATAAAATATATTAAAAATTAAAAATAAATAAAAAAATATCACCATTTAGCTTTATGAGTTTCACAGAACCCACTAATATTTTAAAAAATAACTTTTTAATTATTTTAATCGATAAACCATCCATCAATTTGACCAAAATATTAAACAAAATATGCTTGGATAACAAAAAAGTTATCATTTTTTTCAATTTCTTTTTAAATCTTAAGTTTCCCATAAAAACTTCCTCTTCCCTCTTATTTCTAAGTAAAAAATTCCCATTCCTACCCATTTAACTATCTCCTAACGATTCCCAACTTAATCAACTTTCCTCCCAAAATAACACTATCTTCATATGTGTTAGTACTCTAATGTTCAAACCCATTTCCTAAATTAATTCCCAAATTAACTTTATTCCCATTAATCTACAAAAATCCCTAAAAATGAGCCCAAAACCAAAAAGAAAGGTATTTCCAAACTCCTCTTCCAATGTCTCTTCCCCCTAAAGCGTCTTTTAAATTGTAAGTTATTTCTTTTTTTTCACCCATCCTTAAGTTCTTAAACAATAAGATTTCGTATTATAATAAAACATAGTGTGATCTTCACTTATAGGACTTATCATGACCATTTCTTCTTGCATTTCATTTTTTTAAAGCGAAAATTCGCCACTTATTTCATCATTTTTTATTTTTACTTATACAGAATTATTACTTTTTTAATATTTTACATTTATTTATATTTTTTCACTTTCGTAATCATATTTACCATTAAAAAACATCGTACTAATCCCAAGTTCAGGTATTTTCGATATATTATGTATATTTTCACCTACAAAAGTTGATTCTTTTGTTTTTTATCGAAAAATCCTATTTAAATATTTCCTACATAACCCAAATCTGCAATTGAAAATAAAAAAATAAAGTCGTCTGTTATAATATCAAAAAAGTCCCATTTTTTATACCTTAAAAATTTTAATCCGATAATATTTTCTTCATTTAATTTTTTTAAAGGTCTCCTTGAAAAACCTGTTTCGATTAGTTGACCTGTATTATTAAGTAAATTTCCTTCTTTAAACAGTTCAATTTAAGCCGCTTATTCATTTAAAGGAGTAGGTTCTGGAGTTAATATCGCGATATAAATTATTAAAGATATTAATATTATTAAAAAAGATATAAATTTTAACATTTATTATTTGTTTTTTAAATTTTATAAAAATAGTTTTATTATATCTTTTATTAAAATCAAAATTATTTTATCAAATATATAATTATTTTTTTAAATAAGAGTAATATTTCTATTTAGCTAAAGTTTGTCTCTCTTTTAATTATTTTTTTTTTCGATAAAAAAGACTAATAAAAAACTTTTTTTATATTCAAATAAAATAAAGATTTAGTCTATTAGAATACATATTTTTTTTTCAATATATTAATAAAAGCATAATTTAAATTTTATTCTATTAAAATGAATAATTTATAAAAGTTATATACCAAAAAAATAAAAAATTACTTTATAATATTATTATTTGTTAAAATCAAATAAATTTATTATATCTTTATATTTTTTATTTATTTTTAACGCAATAAATATTATTATTAAAATTATAGTATTTTTTTTTAATTATTCTTAATAAATAAAAATAATTGTTATATAAATAATAATATTTATTTCTAATTAATTTTATGAAAAAATATTAATACTATATTTAATTAATCTTAGTATTATTTTCGTTAATTTTATATTCTCAAAATAAGGTTTCATATTATCATATACTGAATTAATATAATTATATATTGATTTTCTGTTACCAGAAAATTATTTTCTATTAAAAATAATAGATTTTTTACTATAATTAATGAATTATCGGTTTCCACATATATAATTTTTAATTTCAAATAAAAATATTTTCCTGTCAATTATTAATAAGTTATTATTTAAGCATCTGAAAAATTATTTTTTTAAATTAACATATAATTACTCATTTTTAAATGAGTTTTAGGACATTTAGGACAATCTTTGAATACATTATCCACTTAATTACATATAGAATATTTTATATTCTCAAGTTTAAGATTTTATTAATAGTAATTATTTCTTTTAACCATTGAAAATTTACAAAATTGTATTTTTATTTTTGATTAAATTAAAAAATATTTGTTATTTCATTCATTATAAAGCCAATAAAGTTTTTTGCTTTTACAGTCCCTTTATTTACTATAATAAATGAAATTTCCCTTAAAATATATATATTTTTTTTTATGTTAATATTTTTATTATTCTCAATGAAAAGTTACCATTATTTTTTTTCACGAAAAATAAACTCGACTGTCAGGTAAAAAAAGACATTCTTCCATTATTTAAACAGTTTATTTTTTGTTTATATTTTATAAAAAAATATCTTTCCTTAAATTTATTGCAATTTCTACGATAATTTACTTGATATTTTAATTCTTTTAGGTAAAAAGTAATTATTTAAAAATAAAATACTTTAAGTAAATATTCTAAATAGTTATAAACTCTAAATCCCGTATCTTCTCTAAAATTTTATTCTTTTCGTAAGTTTATGTATAATTTCCATATTATTCTGATAAACATAATAATTTTTATTAATGTTATATATAATACATATTTCCAATATAATTTAAAATACAAGCATATATTATTTATTAAATGTAAAAATTATGAAAAAAAACAATGATGATACTTAAACAAAAAAATATTTAATGCCTAAATAAATCCCAAAATCTCTTAAAAAAAACTAAAAAAAGAGTAAACAAAAGAATTTTTCGTAAAACATATAATAATTATTAAATATATTCCAATTTTCGTATTATGTATTAATAAAAACTAATTTCAATTGCATATTATTTTAATAAACACTTGGTTTTATCATTTATTATTTTGAATAATTTTAATATATATTTTTAGTGTATAAACAAACCGTCATAAAATTACAATATTTTAAATATATCATAGATTTATTTTAAATTGTTAATAAAAACTTAATTTTTTAAAATAACTTTAAAAAACAAATTATTCGATTTTGATTAAATTAAAATTATATATAAATAAATTTATTTATTATAAAATAAAATTTATTCGAATGTATATGAAATTTTATTTTCTTGCAAAAGAAAATTTCTATTTATATTAACACTTATAAAATTATATTTATTAAAAAATAAAACATAATTTTAACAATTTTTTATTTTGATTTTAATTAACAATTCGCAATTAATTTTTTAATAATACATAACTAATTTTAATATAGAATTATAGCATAATAATAATTCAATATTTTTAAAAATATTAATAAAATTGTTCATTATTTTTAATATTTATCTTCGTATCCTTCATTTAATACTTCGTCTTTATTTTGTTTTTATTTGAATTCGTATCTTATAAATATTTTTTAATAAAATTCATTATTTAAAATAAAATTACAATATTTATTCATCATCTTCTTTTTTTTAAGCTTTACTTTATAAAAACTAAAATGTAGAAGCTATATTCTATATATATATATAAAAAAACTTCGAATAAAAATTAAATTATATAAAGAAAGTACATTCTTAAAAATATTAAATCCTTTCTCACCAACTTCTTTAGTTTTTTCAGCTGCATTTTTAGTTTTTTCCTTTATATTTATATATTTTATTTAAAAATATTTAATTACTGTCAGTTCTTAAGCAAATTATTTACTTGAAGTTTCAATTTTTTGACCAAATTATTTAAAATCTTCTTATAATTTATTTTTATCTTTTAATTTCTCTTTAATATTATTTGCTTCTATTTCTACTTTTGCAATTGTATTTTAAGCAATTTCTTTACTTTTTGTTAATGCCTAACCAGCCACGACTTTTGTTTTATTAAAAATATTTGAAAAATAATTTTTAATTTAATCAAATTCATCAATTTCTTATTATATATTTGTTTCTTTTTTTTTTTTTGTTAAAAAAAATTATTTTAATATTAAAATAAAATTATACATGAGTTTTCTTAAAACTAAATTAAATCAATAATTTGGATTCCCGACTATAAATCAGGTTCATCTAAAATTTAATTTCCATCTTCGACTAAACTTTAAAGCTAATTTATTTTAAACAATATTTATTTAAAAAAAAAATACATTTCTCCTATAATAAACAGCTGCTTTCGATCTATATTTTTATTCAATAATTATTTCTTCTGGAAAAGGAAACTTATTTAAATATTCTATGAATCTTTTATTCCCGCCTTTTTATAAATAACTAATTTACATTTCATTAAAAAGTTCAAGTTCAATTGAGCTTACTTCTGAAATTTTACATCCGTATTATTTATGGTTTATTGCACATTTAGAACATATAAAAATTCCATTTTTTATAGATACCCATTATACATCTTAAGATTAACAATCAGCACAAAATTTGTTTAATTCTTCAGAAAGCAATTATTAAATTTAATTATCAGTGAGTTTAGTATTCATATTTAAAAAAATAAAATTAAAATTAATATATATATATATATATATATATATATATATATTATTTATTTATTATATATATATATATATAA